TGCCCAACCTTCCTTCCGAGGAGTGGCTGGTGGGTTTGAACCGCCAGCCTTCTGGTTAGCAGTCAAGTGCCTTAGGCACTATGCTACCAGAGCTCCTAATCTATTATAAGTGTCCTATTTTCTTTATTTGGACAAAATTATTACATGAAAAAACCATTTTATATAGCTACAAATGAAAATAATCTAACACTCTGGTTAAATATTAAGGTATTCAAATAAAATAAATCAATGTCAGCTTTAAAAAAAGAATCATCATAAGAATTTATTAAGTTCCCAATTAAATGTAAAACTGGGCTAAGAATAAATTAAAACAAAATAAACAAGCAGCCTTCTCTTAAGGTCTTAAAAGCTTAGGACATGGTGCAGAACAAGTGATATGAACACAGAACTAAAAATAAAGGCATAAAACAGTGACCACATCTGGAAGTGAGTTAAGACTGCAATTTAGTTTGGCCTGGTTAAATGTAGACATGATTTTTCTTTGATCAGGAAGTTGTCTTGACGGAATGGGTGGGGAAGACAGTAGTGGACATCATACAAAATATCAGAATCTTAGAATTAAAGCTGGTGGTTCAATGGCTGATACCAGGCATTTACTCTGCAGTACTGGGGCTACTGGAGGAAGAGGAGGAGAGAGCAAATGAAATTACTCTCAGGTATCTTAATAGCTTAAATTTATTAAGGAACACAGGGAAATTGGAGGCATGGGACCTCAATCCTGGGACTTAAACTTTAGTGAGCTCATAAACTGAGATGGAGCCTGACTGTTTTTCAGCTGTCTTGGTCCTGTGGAATCTTGTCTATTCCTGGTTGAAGATACCTACCCAAAGACTTGGTTGAAATTCTGGCACAGAAATTTTTATTCACCCTTTCATCTTGCAGTTTACATATACTGACATGATGCCAAATTTTGCTCTGAACTTTTTAAAAAAAAAAAAAAATAAAGAAAGGTAGAGTAATAGAGAGAAAATGGGATCTAAAGTCAGCTAGATCAGGGACGAACCAAACCTGCCACTTACTACTCCCCAGCTGTTTGAATTTAGGAAAGATATTTAACTTCCATGAGGCTCAGTTTTCTCATCTACAATTCTCAGGGTTCTTATGAGGATGAGTACATGGTGGCATTCAATAAACATAGTAGCCACATTGATCTATTTACTTTTGATATTTTATTTTTAAGCTACTTATATAAATGGCAAACAAATTTGGGCTCGAGGGGATCTGAAGTGAAGAGAGCCCAAACATTAGCTGCTCCTTTTTGGGTTGGTCCCAACTGATGACTCAACTTATTGACTCAATCTAATGACTCAACCCTTCCAGGCAACTTAGTCTAGAAAATTACTTCAAGAGATGTGTCGCCTACAGAGACTCTCAACATAAGAGAACCAAACATATATTCACCCAATAGCAGAGACTTTTCCTAGAGCACAGTTCTAGCACACAGACCCTGACTGGTTGGTTACCTTTTCAAATGAACTCTACATCACCTGTCTGGAAGAGTATATCTTAGAAATTTCATTCCTAAATCATCAAAGCTTCAGTACCTTTCCCTACAATTTTTTTTTCAGCAGCATTATCTTAGAGAGGCAAAATAATTTATGTTTCTAAACAAACAAACAAACTCAAAAAACATTCTTCTCTATCTTGGTTCTAGACTCTATTATGATGGGCTTGGTATATGTTAAGATTTACATTCTTTCCGCCGAGACACATGAAATCATTAAGTTTCCAGATTCACTCGATTTGAATTCCTGAGTTTTATTCACCTGACCAAAAAAAAAAAAAAAAAAAAAACTCACTGCCCTCGAGTTGATTTGACTCATAGTGACCCCTCCTTGGGTTTCTAAGGCGGTATCTCTATGGGAGTAGATTGCCTAATCTTCTTTCTGAGGAGTGGCTGGTGAGTCTGAACTGCCTGCCTTCTGGTTAGCAGTCAAATGCCTTAGGCACTACACCACCAGAAGGCATGCATAAATGTTTCAGAAAATCTAAACACTAGCATTGGCAATCACACTGCCAAATTCCATCCATAGACAATCTAGATCACAAGAATTATCTTCCCACACGCTCTGTCCTGCCTTCCTGCAAACATATATTTGTGTTTAAACAGCACACACATACAAACTATTTAACTTCTGAGGGGGAAAAAAAAATTCATGCTTGCAGTTAACTGAGAGATCTTTTTCTATAATTAATGAGCATTCTAGTATTTCCATAAGATTCTAGAAAATGAAATACCACCTCAGTATCAACTAGTTCTGAAAATGTACAACACAGCATAAAATTCCTACTGCTCTGATACATAATTAGTATTTCCATTTTCAGAATACTTTCAAGAAATCTATATTCTTAAAGCAAGTCTTAGCAGTTTAAAGTCCCATGGTAACAAAGGGCCTTTAAAAAAAGGAATAGACAATAACTTTTCAAAAGAATTTCTCAAACAGTAAAACAGTAAGAAAAGCTTAAGAAGACTACAATAGAAGAACTAGGCTGCATATTCTTCTAATAGCAATAAGGAAAGGACAGGAAAGTTTGACAAACTAGTTCTTACCTTGGCAATTAAAATGTTTCTACAGCATAAAGTTTGTGGATATCTATGCCTTTTGAACAAAGTAAAGGCATTTAAACTAATACGGCATTTAAAGAACAAAAGAAAATCATCAAGCTATTAATAACTCTATTTCTCTTTAAAATATTTGTCCTAGAAATTCAAAAGGATTTTCAGAGTCTCCCACGCCCCCTGCTTGACATCAAGCACATTTTACCCAGCATGGACCCTGAGCTCCTTTTCAAAGAAAGTTGATCGGATTAAAGGGATAGCAGCCTTTTAAGACAAAACGAATTAAAACCCTGAGAATTCTAAATACCCAGATCTGAATGGCCTGAAGAAAGGTAGGGTTGTTACTCAATATTAATTTCCTACCTCACTGGAGCCTTGTGGAGCACCTAAAGGGACCAGTCTAATTGGCTAACATTCTGGTGGCAACAAAGCAACACAACGTAACAGAGCCAGTGAAGGCAGGAGCCCAGTTTCTCTTCAATGACCTGGATAAACTGGGATTATTTATGACTGCAGACCTTGGGTATGTTTCTACACTCTATTTTTAAACTATTAAACAACACTAGAAGGAAATTTTCATTTCATTCCATATTAGTGTTGACTGATGGAGAGGGAAAAACAAAGATCCAGGAAAAGTATAATAAAAAGACCAGGAAAAGCCACAGCACCCAGAGCCTAACACACTTAAGGATACTTAGGCGGAAACAAAGAACAGTACAAAGAGCGTATGTATCAAATCAAGATATAAAATTGTGACTAGAGAGATACTGTACAAGCCGTTCACACACTGGGTGGCAATGGGCTGATTGCTAGGGTTCCTTCAAATTCTAACGATCTATGATAAAGGCAGCATTTTCATACTCCATAAATCATTTCTTATGGTCTAAGAAATATTTGCACTAAAAATCTCTCATCTTGCCAGATCTATCCATATTTGAAAATATATGAATGTATGCATTGAAAAATAGTTAATTTCATTTTTATCATAGCAAAGATGACCAGGGACTCCAAGATTGTCTAACTTCAAAAGTCATCTAGATCAGATCATCAATTTGTTCATCATTACAGGAACTTAATTTCAATATGAAAAGACCAGTGCTTCTTTGGAGTAGTTTCTTTATTTCCCTGCAGTGCAAGTTAAAAGAATTCAGATTCTATTCACTTCCAAATGTGTTTCAATCAATGCCTATCACAGTAATGTGCAAAGAGTTGTTCAATAATAAAATCTGCCAACTAGATTAACAGTAAGTCTAATAATCATCTATTTACTAGGGGATTATCCATTATAGATCTATGTATTTAGATCAAAATTTAGATAAAAAAAGTTAATGTGCTAGGTTCATAGTAACTTAGAAAAAATAGTTTTCAATTTAATTTTTTACTGTTATTACATATATTAGGCATAACAATCTACAAATATTAGGAAAAAGAAGTAATGAAAATACTTCTCAGGACTATGTTGAGAATAAACGAGATATTATACATGATAATTATGTTTCCCCAAAATATAA